CAGATCTGACCAGAGCCCAACACCCCCGATTAATGACTGTGCGGCTTGGGGCAAGTCATAGATCTTTTCTGTTCCTTGGTTTCCCCATATTCTGAAATAGAGATGATGCCTCCTCCTCTTGGGGTTACTGAGAGAATTACAGGGGACAGTGAGTCCAGCACAATGTGTAGTAGACCTGGCTCCACCTGGCTAAAGACCATAAGCCAAAGCCAGGAGCCTTGGCATGGCCAGCCCCTTAGCCCACCTTCCCCACTCCACCTTCATTGTTATGAAGTAGCAATGAAAATAATTTTATGGTTGGGGGTCACCACAACATGAGGAACTGTATTAAAGGGTCGTGGCATTAGGAAGGTTGAGAACCACTGAATTAGCCAGAGTGCACACGTGCTAAGCTCCAAGTGCTAAGCTCACGGCAGTGCCAAGCCCTTTAGCAGAAGTTTACTGGACCCAACAGCTTTGGGGGCAGACAGTCTCATCCCCTTTTACCTATGAGGAAGCCTGGACTCAGAGGGCTGACATAATTTACCCAAAGTTAGACAGGATTAAATGGCAGGGCAGGATCTACCAAAAGACTGACTCTAGAACCCGGCCTTCTCATGCCGCTGTACTCTGCAGGTGCAGACGCTTTCTGCCACGAAGTTAAACCCTTTAGGCCAGCCCAAGGCTAGGGAGTCAGAGTAGGAAGGGCAGCTACTGTCAGAGGAAAACTGACATCAGCAATGGGGCTCTGAGACGGGGTGCCAAGGGCCTGGCCCTCTGCGGGACTTTTTCTGTTTTAATCCTCACAGCCCTGTAAGTAATTCTATTTGTCTGATTTTATAATCGAGGAGGCAGGGAGGTCTCTTAGCTGGTCAGTGGTGAGCCTGGAAGGGGCCCTCAGTGTCATAGCTGGGCACAGTGGCCTCAGTTGGTGTGGCACCTGGTGGAGGGGATGTTTCATTTTAATTTCTTGAGTCAGTTCCACCTCCATTCCTCCTGACCCTCCATTTCAACCTCTCCCTCTCTGTCCTCCTGAAAGGGGGCAGATTTCTTGAGCCTTGAGAAGCCAAAGGGCCTGAAAAAGACCCTGGGCTTCCGTCTCTGTAATTCAGACCTTCTAGGGGGAGAGGTGGGCTCTGGCCCTGGGGAGACAGTCTAGCTGCAAAGCTGTAGCCATGGGGAGCACTGCCACTCCTGGGTGCTAGGGGATGTGGGGGTTTGGAACACAGAAGTCAAGAGTGACAGCGGTTGGGACGGAGGTGGTAGGGAGCTTCTGAAACCAGTTGTGTTTATTTCACCCTCCACTTTCTCAGACCCTGAAATCCTATTTGTGGAAAGGTGTGGAGCTTATAGAGACAAAACAATGAGCCAAATCAAAACCCCCAAACCCCCAAAGCTCATTTTTCAACACAGGAATCAGTGAACCTTCACCTTGAGGGTGCCCTGAATCTCACGCCCTGCTCCCACAATTCCCTGATTTAAAGCTCGAGGCTGGCAAGAGGTGGTAGGGCCTCACTCTGGTTTGTGCCTTCCTAATTATGCCACTGTCCCCAGCTGTCCCTGCACCTCCCCACAATGAGTGGTCTAAGCTAATTTCCAGGCTTCCCTTGTGGCTCCCAGTGCCCCCAGGTGAGGAGGAAGCAGGGCCATGGGAGGCTTGCAGGAGGTCAGCCACCTTGGGACAGACAAGCATCCACAGGATTCTCACCACGTTCCCTCCCCAGACTTCATAGCTTCATCCACGCTGTCCCATACAGGTGCCACTTGCATGATGGGGTACTGAGCAAGTGAAACGTGGCCAGTGTAAACCAAGATGTGCTGTGCTTATAAAATGCATGTTGAACACTTAGTATTTAAAAGGAATGGAAAATATTTCAGTAATAATTTTTATGTTGATTACATGTTGAAACAGTAATATATAGGATTAAATAAAATATGTTATTTAAATTAATTTTACTTCTTTTTACTTTTTAAAAAAAATATGATGGCTTGGCACTCATAGCACAGTAGTTACGGCACCAGCCATATGCACCGAGGGTGGTAGGTTGGAACCCGGCCTGGGCCAGCTAAACAATGACAACTGCAACCAAAAAATAGCTGGACATTGTGGTGGGCACCTGTAGTTCCAGCTATTTGGGAAGCTTAGGCAAGAGAATCAGTTAAGCCCAAGAGTTTGAGGTTGCTTTGAGCTGGGATACCATGGCACGCTACCGAGGGTGACATAGTGAGACTCTGTCTCAAAATAAAAAATTTTAAAAAAAGTATATATATATATGTATGTATAGTTGTTCAAAAATTTAGAGTTACATCTGTGGCTTGAAATAGATGGGCTTGCTAGGCTTAATTCATGGAACTGCAGCTTCTCAGGGCTGAAGGGAGTCATCAAGCCCATCAGTGGCCCCATGAAACAGAAAAGGAAACTGAGCCCCAGGGAGGGGAATGACTGGCCCAAAGACACATGGCAAGTTTACAGCAGAGAAGGGCACTGGATCCAGTCTCATCCCCTGTAACACAGGGTGTGGGTTTGAACCGTAGGCCCCCATAAAGAATGTCATGACACCTGCCCCTCCACTGTCCCTAGAAATGCTGTCACTGAGTGTGTCAGGACATGAGAGCCTTCTTTCCCTGTGTGCACACTCTGTGGAGATTTCTGACACCTCCATCAGGGTGGAGATGCAGCCTCACAGCCTCAGGTGACCCTGATGTGGCCTGAAGGACAGCACTGCCTTGAGGTACCTGTCTCATCTCTTTCTATCTCACTTGATTCCTATCTGAAATGGGAATCATAATACACCTACCTTCCAGGGTGGTTGAGAGCATTAAGTGAGATAGCTATGTTTAAAAACAAAAACTTATTGGTACTTGGCCTGGGTAGGTCTTCCCATCAATTTCTGTTCCCATTACAGCAATGCCATTGGTCATGGCTGCAGAGTGGGGCTTGTTGAGAGAGGGGCAGCTCCAGTGCCTGGCACGTGCCTGCTATACTCTCGGTGTTCAAAGCACATTGACAGCACTGAGCCTGATTCTTACCCACATTCAGCTGAGTTCCCTTCCCGAAGATCAGCTGCGGGCCCTCGATCATCATGCAGAAGTAGACACCACTGTCCGCAGGCTTCACACTTGTAAGATTGAGAACGAACCGGTTCCCATCCCGAAACACAATTAGTTTTTCCTGTTTCACGTCCTCACCACGCACAGTCTTTTTTATGGAATCCCAGAAGGCCAGGGACTCATGGTGACTGTCACTGCTCGGGGCCTGGCGCTGTCTCAGCCAGTAGATGTGCATATTATTGGGCGAGAATTTAGGCTCACAGGACAGCAACACCATTTGGTTGGTCTGCACTGTTATGGTCCCAGGGGTCTGCTGGAGGACTAAGCTGCCGTGGAGAGCTAGGAGAAGCCAGGAGAGAGATATCAACACATTTTCCTGGCCAAGTTCAGGGACTGTGTTAAAGGCAGTCAGTGGCTCCTGGACTCAGACAGAGCTCACATACCCACCTCCCAGGAGATCCTCAAGGCAGGTGTTTGCTAAGCCCAGCTTTACAAAATGTCTAGTGGGGGAGAGCTGTCATTTGTTGACTGCATACTTGTATGCCTGGGCCTTTGCAGAATAAATTATTTCCACCAAGCCTCAGACTGGCACTGAGACTTTCTTTTTTTTTTTGGAGACAGTCTCACCTTGTCACCCTTGGTAGAGTGCCGTGGCTGCACAGCTCACAGCAACCTCAAACTCTTGGGTTTAAGCGATTCTGTTGCTTCAGCCTCCCAAGTAGCTGGGACTATAGGCACCTGCCACAATGCCCAGCTATATTTTGTTGCAATTGTCATTGTTGTTTAGCAGGCCCAGGCTAGGCTTTGAACCCGCCAGCCTCGGTGTATGTGGCTGGTGCCCTATTCACTGAGCTACGGGCACCGAGCAGAGACTTTCTGGTTTTTAATTTTATATTTTTTAGAGATAGGTTCTCTGTTGCCCTGGAGTGCAGTGGCCTGATTATAGCTCAAGTGATCCTTCTGGCTAAGCCTCCTGAATAGCTAGGATTACATGCAAGCACCACAATGTCCAGCTAACATTAAAAAAAAAATTTTTTTTTAGAGATAGGTTGTTGCTATGTTGCACAGGCTGCAGTACAGTGACTATCACACGTATGATCATAATGCACTATAGCCTTGAGCTCCTGGGTTCAAGCAATTCTCCAGCCTCAGCTTCCTCAGCATGGGACTATAGTTGCATGCTACCACACTGGCTGGGTTTGAGATTTTTATCCCCATTACACAGATGAGGAAACTGAGACATGAAGTTACTTGCTCAGAGTCCTTCTTACAAGTAGTAAGTTGCATGGGATTTAAATTCAAGAATTCAAAGTCTGAAGCTGAAGCCTTTCAAGCCTTCCACCTTGCCCAGCTGCTATTCCATGTATAGATCTTCACTTGGCTCCAAACTGCTGAAGCAGGCCCAGGGCAAGCTGGGATAGGAGCTTAAAATCATAGGCAAAGCTCATGACTGTTCTGGTTAGCCTAGAAAAGGGCCAGCCACCATTGGTACAGCGCCCATTCCCCAGTGGAAGGACAGTTGCAGTGCCAGCCACATGCACCAAGGGTGGCGGGTTCAAACCCGGCCCTAGCCAGCTAAACAACAATGACAACTGCAACTAGAAAATAGCTGGGCATCGTGGTGGGCACCTGTGGTCCCAGTTACTTGGGAGGCTGAGGCAAGAGAATCTCTTGAGCCTAAGAGTTGAGGTTGCTGTGAGCTGTGATGCCATGGCACTCTGCCGAGGGTGACATACTGAGACTCTGTCTTAAAAAAAAAGAAAAAGAAAGAAAGGGGCCAACCACCATTCCTGGACAGCGATGACAAAAAGCAAAAAAAGCTCAACCCCTGGTAGGGACAAGGCTAGCCCATTGCTCCCCAGCTCAGAAAATGATCAGTCATTGGATCCCCATTCCCCAGTGGAAGGACAGTCACCCCAGAAACAGGGCTGGGAGTTTATTTTATTCTCAGAGGAGAAGCACCTGGCAAGCGGGGGCTTATTCATGAAGAACTGAAGCAGGACCCCCCAGACCTGGCTGTGAATCCAGCCTCTGCCCCAAGACAGCTATGAGCTCTCAGACTAGTCGGTGAGCCTCCATCTCCTTGTGAAAGGAGGCAGCTTGGTGCTGGCTTCCTGCCCGCCTCTGAGGGTTAGAAAGAAATGGAATGATGTCCAGGAGAGCAAACTGTAAGCTCTAAAGCATTGTACACAGGTAACCACTGTCTCACATCTCAGGGGTTGTTACTGGCAGCAAATAAAATTCCAAGAGGAATCAGAAAGGGTTCATTCACAGCCAAGGCCACATGGGCCCCCTTCAAACCCAGACTGGGTCCTGCAACCCAGTCTGACCTGCTGAGCCTTTCTTTCATTTTGGCTGTGGGGCCAGAGACGTTGCAGACCAGGGCAGAGACCCAGGAGTGGCTGGGTGCAGAGAGGACATAGACATGGGTGGGCGAAGGAGCCAGAGGGAGCGTGCCTGTGCCCAAGAGGAGCCGGCTCACTAGGTGGCCCATGTTCACATTCTTGCCCGTATTTGTGGTTCAGGCTCCATGGTCACCAGGGGCCTCCTCTATCTGTGATGAAGCAAACTTCAACCTCTTGATTCTATTCCCGGACCATTCTGAGCTTAGCCTGCATTGAGAATGAAGACCACCTGGGCCTTCCCCTCCACCCCTAAACACCCCACTGCCTTTTCAGGAAGATGTTTCATTGTTTTGGGTCACTGATCTCTTGGGGGAGTTAATAAGAATTGATATAACATCAATATTTGTTGAGCTGTACAGGGCAGGGCACATATGATTTCTCATTTAATTCCCACCAAAGTTCGGGGAGAGATACTGTTTTATACCCACTTTATACATCAGCAAACAGAGGCTCAGGAAGGTTAAAGACATATTCAGGGTCACACAACCTTTATGTCAGTGTTTTCCAACCATTTTTATCTCATGGTACACTTGAACCTATAGTTCAGGGGTCCTCAGACTTTTTAAACAGGGAGCCAGTTTACTGTCCCTCAGACCACTGGAGGGCTGGACTGAGGGCCCTGGGACGAGTCAGCTGCTAAGCAGGACAGGCAGCAGCGGCAAAAACACCTGGCAGGCCAGATAAATGTCCTAGGCGGGCTGCATGTGGCCCGTGGGCCGTAGTTTGAGGACGCCTGCTATAGTTAAACTTCTGTGGCACACTTAAATTATGTTGACCAAAAAAAAAAAAAAAAAAGTTTGAAAAAAGAATATGCTTACTGTGCTTCGAACTTCTTTCAAAAATAATTTAATTAATGTTCTTTAAAAATTTTCATGGCAGCCTAGTTGAAAATCACTGCCTTATGTAGTAGATCCAGTTTCAAACCCAAGGGAGCCGGACCCTGAGGTTTGAGCCACTGAAATGAGCACACCAGCACCTTTCTCCTGGGGGGGGGGGGTGTGTGTGCTCATGAGCACGCAGGGAGGCTGCAAATACACAGATGCCCCGGGCTCTTCCAAGAAAGCCCAGAAGTCGTTTCTGAAAGCTGCAGTCCCCAACCCCCAGCCTGCCGACCAGTCCTTCCCTGGCCCTGGCCGGTTAGGAACTGGGCTGCACAGCAGGAGGTAAACAACAGTGAAGCTACATCGGTCCTTGTCTTCCATCACCCTTAGATGGGACCATCTAGTTGAAGAAACACAAGCTGATCCTGCATTCCGGGGAGCTGTATAATTATTTCATTATATATTACAATGTAATAATAATAGAAATAAAGTGCACAGTACATGGAACGCACTTGAGTCATCCCAAACTTGACCCCTCACCTCCCTGCCTAGTCTGTGGAAAACTTGTCTTCCATTAAACTGGTCCTTGGTGCCAAAAAGCATGAAGACAGCTGCTTGAAAAGGAAAGGGCTGGGCTGTGCGCCATTTCCCGCTGGGGGCCAGGCATACCCTGCGCTCTCCCTTGGGTGCACCTGCTTGTCAGCCTCTGGGGACTGATCATCTGGCTGTGGCCAAGTCCCTGCTATGTGCCAGACACAGGGCCCGGCCTCACTATGCTTACAGTCTCATTTGATCCTCTCAGTAGCCTAGAAATTCGGTTCTCACCTGATGTTTCTAGAATGACTGGCAATAACTTTAGCACCTTTGAACGGCCTGGACCTGTTTCTTCTTATGATGTGGTTGAGCTCAGGCCAGAGCCGGGGGTCTTGGCAGGCCCTGTCACCCCCTGGTGGGCTGACCAGCTTTGGGTTTGGAGGGTATGACAGAAAATCAACCACCAGATTGTGGGCAGTATGGGAGCTTCTTCCAAAAGGCAGTCTGGCGGGGCTTAGTCAGAGGAACAACCTAGACCCCTGCCTACCTCCCAACCCCACCATTCTAACCTCCACGTTGCTACTTACAGAAGCCACCCTGCACATGACACCCAACACAGGGAACACAGGGGACACCCAGAGGGTAGCCAGCCATAGCTCCGAGAACTGGCAACAGCCTGGTGTATGGCAGATTGCACTACAAACACTCTCCGGAAGTAATAAAAATGTGTCTACAGGACCGTCAGCCTGGGCCAGGAGTGGGGCACCAAGGCCAGAGTAGGTCCAGTACCTTCCTGGGGGCACATGCTTGTGGGGGCTCCTGGACAAGGTCGCGATTCCTTTCTCCCTGGACTTCCTCTCTATCCTTTCACTGCCTCCCCTTCTCCTAAGTCCAGGCTTTTGGGAGGAGGTGGCCTCAGATTGAGGGAGGTAGCCCCAGTCCTGGGGTCCTCGGATCCCTGGGGTAAGAAGCTCCAGGAGGATGTTCTTTCCCGCCCTCAGAGACCGTGTCTGCCAAGTGACTCCCCAGTGCCCGGCAGCCAGGCTCTGGTCTCTGCATCCTGCTCGGATAGCCTTTGCTGACCTCAGGCGCAGACCCCGGTCCTACCCTGCGCCCTCGAGCCTCCCGCCTCACCTGCTAGCTGCGCGGCCAGGAGGATCCAGAGCCGGGGCTGCATCTCGGCGCCGCTCCGGGACAGCAGAGCCCTGTGGGGCTGGCGGAGACGGTCTGGGCAGGGGTGGGACGGGAGCAAGGCCGGGCGGGGCGCTCCCGGGTGAGCTGAGACGCCGCTGTAGGAGGGCGGTGCCCGCGCTGCAGGGGGCAGGAGTCAGGTGGATCGCAGAACCCCCGCCCCCAGCCTTTCAGCATTGTAAAGGACTGACGCTGCGGTTCCAGAGAGCCTTCTAGGATCCTCTGCTTTCCTGGACGGAGGCGACACCGCTGACTTGCTCTAGGCAGTTGCACGTGTGTGATACCCTGGGTGGCGCTCAGGACAGGGTGGTGTCCCTATGTGACAGTTGAGACAAGTGACGTTCAGAGCAGTCAGAATGCAGGGAACCTGCTGGTGCTGGACCCGAACTCGGGTCACTCCTTGTCTTTTTATTTATTTTACTTATTTATTTATTTATTT